TTTTATGATTGTTAATTTATATTTTTTAATCATTCCTACCCAGGTTCGTTTCGGTTCAGGTTCGGATAAAAATAAAGGTTCAGTTCTAAAAAAAGTATAGGTTCGGTTCGAAGCAATAAAAACGGGTTTGAACACTTTTGTATATAAACCTACATTCGATTTAGATATTTTATTTGTTGTGATATTTTGTGAAATTTATTGAGTTCTAGAGAGTGGTTTCTTTTTTGATGCTCAAGATTTGCTCTCGGTTTCCCTTTATAGTTGTTATAACATTTTGATGTGTTATTTATAATACTATATGTAAATAATTTATATATTGGTTTCGATTTTTTTTAAGCATAAAAACAAAAGAAAAAATTTAAATTTGAAAAAAAAAAGAAAAATAACAATATCAATAAATACTTAAAACAAATCAAAAATAGGGTGCTCAAGTTCAAAAGCTTTTTATCCTAGACTAAAAAGCAATTTATCAAAATTATGTCGACCCAGGACACGACCTAAGCTTAAAAATATTTAAATGTTGTAAAAATACTAATGGTTATAAAAATTAAACTAGAATGTTATCAATATACTAATAATAACTTTCACATAATTTTATAAACGCAAAATTATGAGGCTCAAACCGGTTCAAAGGCAATATAGTTTAGGTTCTGATAAAAATTCATTTAACAGTTGGTTCGGTTCAGATTCGAAAAATACCTGTTAAACCGGTTTAATAGTTCCGTTCAGGTTCGGTTTGGATCCCTGTTCCTAACCCTTATCGCATATACATTCCAATTTACATTTATTGATCATATTCACAGCAAAAATAAATATGCTACTATATAATTCTATGAATTAATAGTTTTCAAATTTTTCCTTGGCATTATATTTATCCAGGATTATCAAATTTCCCATTTAATTATTTGAATTTTTTTACTGCAAAACTAAAGTAAAATATTTCAAAAGAATGACAGCGATTTGATTGAAACTATGAGAATAGCTGAAAGCATTGTATTGAAACTTAAGGAAGTTGGGGAATATGTAGATGACAAATTTCATATATTATATACATGATTGTTCAGTGAAAAGCCAAGCTCTATTAATTTAATATTTGGGTGAGTCGAAGAATACTATAAAATAAATATTTTTCTCTTTATCCCCCTCTTGGATACTTTTATAACACAAATAAATGAAATGTTCCTGATTAATCAGGCATTACAAATCTTTAAATAATTATTAACGCAGAATCCTTCCGAATCTATTTCATATCCTGATATAGAAAAAATTTAATATTTGAGATTTTTATTGAGAAGATGTTAAGTATCACATGATTCATTACTAGCTGAATGCAAACTATTGTATAAAAGGCTAAATATAGTTGATAATGTCAATATGTTTCGCCTAATTAAACACATTTAGATAAAATTCTCTATTTATTAAATAATATATAAAATTGTAAATATATATAGAAATAAAATTAATATTAAATCAAATATAAAATAAAATCTTAATTTTATACACATTTAGATAAAATTCTTTATTTATTAAATAATATATAAAATTATAAATATATATAGAAATAAAATTAATATTAAAATTAATATATCAAATATAAAATAAAATAAAACAATATTATATAAAAACGGAGGTGGGATTGGGGTTTCTCACAATTACCCTCGAAAATGGGTGGTTTATATTTATATCACTTAAATCTTATATATCTTTCCTCATTTTTGGCATCGCGTTTGATGAATAACTCCATGATATCTTCTTTTATCTCTCCTAAAGATAACCTTTTAAATTCAGCCTTGGCAGCTTGGGTATCTTTAGCTCCACCTGAAGCTGTTTTACCCACAATCTTAACACACCAATCTATTTTCGAACTTTTAATTAAAAAATTTTTTTAAATAATCTCATCAAACCCCCTTTGGAGTATATTCAACTATTACAGAATGCTGACAATGGTTATGAATGGTTGGAAGCATTACCAAGTGGTAACCTAGGTAACCTCTTATCAGATGAACAATTAAGAGTTGCCATAGGCCATCGACTTGGATGTAACATTGTTCAACCACATACATGCATCAAATGTAAAATATTAGTAGACTCCAGGGAGACATGGTCTAAATTGTATATATAGTCAAGGCAGGCATGCAAGGCATGCAGTAATTAATTTAGCTAATAGCCATTCTCTTACCAGGGCCCGAATACCAAACATCCTGGAGCCTACAAATTTATCATTAGATGATGGCTTAAGACCAGATGGCTTAACTTCCGTGCCTTGGTCTTTAGGGAAATCCTTAATTTGGGACTTCACATGCGTATCTTCTTTCCTAAAAAATTAAAATTCTAATCCGGTTGATATAGCCGAGAAAAAAAAACAATGAAATATTCCAAATTCACAAATTATATTTTTACACCGATCGTTATCTCTTCCCTTGGAAATATGCCAAGCGGAACTTTAAAGTTCTTAAAAAATATAGGCGATAAGACAAGAGCCCTTACATCCGAACCAAAAGAATTCTATTTTTTAAAACAAAACCTACAAATCACTATTTTAAAATATAATTACTCATGTTTTTGGGAAATTGTAGTCCCACCTCCGTTTTTATATAATATTGTTTTATTTTATTTTATATTTGATATGTTAATTTTAATATTAATTTTATTTCTATATATATTTACAATTCTATAAATTATACACATTTTAGACTATTTAAAATTGTTATATATTTTCGCAATTCTACTTATTAGTACTTCTACCAATGAAAGAAAACTTTATTCTTTAACAAGAATAAAAACATTGAGAAGTAGTGTTGCTAAATGAATCAATTTGAGCTAATTTTTTAAAAGGGCTAAGTCAATATTTTAATCAGAATAATATGGCCTACTCGAGATTTTTCTAATAGATGTCCAAACCTTTGTGCCATTTGATCAAAATCTTCAGGCTTGAGGAATATTTTTCTGGATAAAATATTGAGTAGCCATAAAAATTGGCTCAAATTGAGCGTTTAACAATATGATTGAGAGGCACTACCTCTGAAAATAGATTGAATGAGTTTATATGCATAAGGAGTTGTTACCAAGCATTAATAAAATAATCTCAATCCCAAAATAGATAAAATTTCACAGTATAAATTTATAATATGCTTCTTAATTATATTTTTCCTATATTTAATATAAACCTTATTTTTTTCATGAATACTTTGTAAGTTTATATACATGAAATAATTCCTAATATGTTTTTAAATTAATTTATATTTCCAACATTTTTTAGAAAGTAGAATTTAAATTTATATATCAAATTTTAATGCTTAAATAATTTATATTTTTTTACAAAGTTCTTTTTTGAGACAATAAATTTAAAGTATTTAATTCATACGTCGATTATATACATTTAATATTTTATCATTAATTTATACTTGAATTTGTGTATTAGAAATTGTCTTATAGTCACTAGACCTAATAAATTCCTGAAACTTTAATTATTCTTAAATAACTCATAGAATAATTCTATAAGTTTTTTAATTATACCCCCCTCCCTCTCCACATAGCGAATTTCTGCGTACGCACGCCTGAAAATTATACATATATGTATTACACATATAAAATCAGATATAATTTCATAAATAGGATTTGACTATATGAATAAAACAAATATATCATATAATTTTTAAATTAACTAATCCCGCATTAACTTGGAGCTTTGGTGCAAATATAAGATTTCTAATATTTCAATTTGAGAAAATAATCCACTTTTAACTGACATCAATAAAAATGGCTTGATCTTTTCCGATGCTAGCCTTCTGTCTATGATTTATAATTTTTAATTTATAAATAGTTATTTGACATTTTACTTAATATTGATGTTTAAATAAATTCATAGGTAAAAAATAAAAGTTATGCATAAACGGCATGCATATTATACATCACCATAAACATTGCTTTCGCGTGCACTTGTTACTACCTTGAGGGTTATTGGTATTAGAATTATATCATTCTTTTATTATTCCATTTTCTCATAAATATCAATTATATACATCATCAGTATTTTTGCTTAACTTAATTATTATATCCTTGTAAATTTGGATGAATAAAGAATTTATTGTGTAATTTATCATGGATACCTTTGTCAATAAGAAACCTTGCTTAAGGCTTTTTCATAAATAGTTTTGTTATTTATATTATCAAAATGCCTAGGGTGTAAATTTTTCACATTAGAAGTGATGCAAAAGAGCTCCACTCAAGGAGGGCTCAAAAAAGAGTTAGTTATAGTAGAAATAATCTGTTCAACCTTAGAAGCGTGAGCCAAAAAAACATCACCAGTAACACCCACCTATTTGGCTTCATAAAAAATATGGTCCTTGCTAGATTCGAACCAATAACTATCGGATCGTGATCCGCGTAATTACCGACTAGGCTATAGATACTTTCCGAAAAGGGTGATTTTTTAAATATATATTAAAATCATATGTGGGTTGATCCGAACAGAAAATAAAAAAATACCAATTCGTTCCACACTGCCTTTGGTGCTAACTCCCAATAACCTAAAAGGAACGCCTTTCGCTGTGTTTTTTCACAGAAATGAAAGTTCGTCTACAATTTATTATGTTGTATAAATTAAATCCTTTCATAGATTTCAGTGATAATAATAAAATAAGAGATGAAAATCAAGCTTAGGATGAGAAAATGATTTTATAGCTATTGTAATATCTGATCTTTATGATAAAGAAGTTTAAAAACAATACATCAATATCGACGGAACTTTATAGAATTTATATTGGTTTCGATAGGATTCAAAAGTATTGTTAACAAGTCTGCCATTTAATTTTTATATCCTATAATGCACACAAAAATATTAACATTTTAAAGACATACCTTAGTATTTGATTAACATTAAGGTATATTAACATAATATTTGAAAAAAAACGTTTATGAATGTATATATGATAAATTCTATAAAATTCTGATAAATTTTGGGTTTCCGACAACAATTTTACTACTATATTATTGACGATTTATTTTTATAGATTTACATATTTAATTATAAAATTGGCTTGATGCTTGTAAAGTTTGGTTTTTTTATTATACATTACATATAATTATATAAAAAAAATGTATGAATTTAAATTTTCATCACTAAGATGGCTTTCTTGGATGTAGTCATTTTTTGCGTAGTTGACATATTTTGAATCCGCAAAACACTTAATATAGTTTTAAAAAATATATATTATAAATTAGTCAAGCAATAAAATGATTAAATATGTAGACAACGATAGAAATATTAATTTAATAGATAATTTGGTTACATTGAAACGTTATTAAAATAGATTAATAATATAATATCAAGGGTATACGGCCTCTTGGTTTTACTGGTGGGTCATAGGGAGAAAGCTTGTCTGTGTAATAACGTCTTTTACTTTCTCTACCCATATCAAGATTCTTTTTTTTGAGTATCTAATGTAAAATTTCAATTATAGCATAGAGAGAAATATAAAAGTGATCAATTACAGAATTACACAATTTACTCTACAATAGAGTAGTCGATTATATATGTTTTCGGTCTCAATTTAGTTTAGAGATCGACTGACCCAAACATACACATGATGGGAACTTGATTAGGATATCGCAACTGAATAAAAACTATGTCAACTAATATTTTATTTATTACATAATCTGAAGTAGAGACCGGGGATCTTATGAGCCCGCGATTCTTGCTAGCCTTATGGTTTTTTTCTAAAGTACTCAACTCGAATAAAATTTTTATAAAACAATATATGGTTTATACTAGTGATCTGCATCGGGCCTAATTTTTCAAGCCCGGCCCGAATTTTTTTTAAAAACGTTTTGCCGGCCCGGCCCGAACCCTAAATTTTTTTTAAAAAATTTACCTTACCGGCTCGGCCCGAATTTATTTAAATATAGAAATTAATTTTTATAATTACTCAAAATAAAAGACATATGTTATATGGCGTTTAGTTTCATTAAATTAAAATACATAAAAAATTCAATATAAAATTGATAAATTTAGATTATTTAAAAAAAATTCCAAGGTCCGACCCGACCCGAATTTTTTTTAAAATATTAGGCCCGGCGCGAACCCAAATATTTTAAATAGAATTAGGCCCGAGGCCGGACCTAAGTTTGCAGATCTCTAGTTTATACCCTCAAAACAAAAAGCACTCAAAATTGCTGTTAACATGGAAAAATATGCAAAAAGCACGCAAAATAGTCTACTACAGGCGAAATAACTGTAAAACAGGTTTAACAGCAAATATTTAATTTGCACAAAAAAAACGTAAAAAATGATTACCAAATTATATAAAACGATGTAACATTTTAAAACTTCCGCGAAAAGAGTTAGATAAGGATATTTAAAATATTTGGGAATATATTGATAATGAAATTTACAAAATCAACATTTATCCATTACCTTTTTAATTTTTTTTGGTGAAAATAAATTTAAAAAAAATGAATATTTTAAATATATTTTGGTAATAATAGTTGTTATTCACAAATGTGACAATCGTCATAATGGTCATTTGAAATTTTCTTTTATTTTTGAGAAAAGTTTTTAAAAAGATGTATGTTTTAAATAAACTATAATATAATTTTAAGGATAATGCCATTCATAAATGTTACAATTGTCTTAATCGTTGTTTTTACATCTTTTTAATTATTTTTGGCCAATGGTATAATTTCAGTGAGAATGTAATTTAGACTTGGATTAATCCTGAAGGCATAGAGTAATTATTAGTAATGAAAACAAAAAATATTTTTATTAACTTTTATTTAATGCTAGATATTTTATTTAAAAAATGATTAATAAATTCCAATCTCATCTTGACCTGGACCCAACATCTAAGAACTTTGAAGGATGATTAATAAAATTAAAATTTTTATTTATTAGCCTTCTTTGAAACCCCATATTGACCTAATATGTTTAAACAATTTAAAGAAAACCTGATCCTCAAAGTCCAAATTCGCCCATTAAAAATATAAAATAAACACTTAAGCTATGCACTTAGGCTAAAATTTAAATAGTAAAAAACTGTGCCACTAAGAAATTGAATAAAATAAAATTTTAACAAAAATTATTATCTTTATTTTTAAAAAATGAATTATGAGAAAATAGGTAATATTTCCTTTTCACTGTTTTCAAATGTTGAGCAATGGAGAGCTAATATTTCAAGTTTAATTATTACTGAGCAAAATCTTGTCATTTTTTAATATTTTATTATAAATAAATAATTATATAAAAAAAAAATTCTGCTTTCTTAATTCGAATACTACGCTCATTTTAATTTCCTTAATATTTTATCAATGTTGAACATTTAATAAAAGACTTAGAAGTATATACCAAAATACATTTAAAATATCCATTTTTAAGGTTAATGTTTGTCAAACGGTGCTAAGTAAACATATAGCAATTTACTAGACAAAAATCAAATTTTATAATTCAATAAGACCCGTTTTTAATATACACTAGCTGATAGTATTCTGCTTTTGCTTCTGATCTGCTTTATACCATACCACAAGGTACGTATATATAAAATTTGTTCTACACTATGTCCCAATTCATCTGACGCCCTTTTTGTTTTGGCAATAAATCTATCAATTTCAAATATAATTCAACTTAACATAGGGATAAAGTATTAATGTTTTCTGCAAATTTCATCATATTCTATAAATAGTGTTCAAAGTAATATGCACAGTCAAAGTTGAACAAACAAAATTCGAACTTTCCAACATGTAAAAATTTATTTTTTATTAAACTTTACATTTAAACAAACGATAAAACAAAATGGTTTTCAGTTAAGATGACTTGAGTGAGTTTTTTAAGACAATAATAACATTTCAGAGCCAAAAGGTTTTTGAAGGAATTTCTTAATAGAAACTGGTCTTTCGCAGCTTTGAATCGATTGATTTTAAGAGTTGATACTACCAGACCAGCAGAAAAACGATATAATGATGGTAGACAACGCAAAGTTCGTACAATAGAAAATGTTGATTCTGTTGAAACACTCGTATTGAGCCAAGTAGACTGACCTGAGACCACCAGAATTCCAGAATTTGTAAAGCATCTCAAGAAACTAATATTTAGAGAACTTCGGTGCATCGGATTATCCTCAAGGAACTGCAGCTTAAATGTTTAAAAAAGAAAAAAGTCCAGGAAATAATTGATTCAAATAAGATCGCCCGTCTGGTAAGTACCAAACGACTTGTACGTAAATTCCAATTTAAATTAGGAATCATGAAAAATATTCTTTAAAAACAATAATTTATATGATGATAATTTTGTAAATATTCGAAACTAATTCAAAATAAAATGTAAAAGAAAATCTACAAAAATAGTTTTGAATATCATAGGTCTGCTAAGAGACACATTTTAGAAACTTCGAAGAAAAATTCTCTATTATCTTTATTAACCTAATAGAAATACCAAATCATTCCTAATAATACTGTGTTATTTTATTTAAAAAAACAGGGGTTTCAAGTAAACTTGAAATATATTTCTTTGGACTTAGAGAAATAGAAGGATTTCGAATCTATGCCTGTGCAGAGTCTTGTCAAAACTTAACATTAATTGGTATAATATCCTCTAAAAAATATGAAGCTTTATTTTATGTACTGATCATTACACTATATTTTATACATATTTCTTATATAAAATTTAATAAAATAATTTTGGGAATTATGTTTAAATACTTCCGCTTTTTGTTTGAAAAAATCTTGCAACATAATTTCAACATGTTTAGACTACTTTCATAATAAATTTTTGACATGAATATTTACCCTTAATTCATATTCACTTTTATAATAGACTTTTCATGTAAATTCAAAAATACAAAAGAAATTTAGCCAAAAATTTTATGAAGTTCAGAGGGTTTACAAATGCTGAAATACATTTCCGTTCAAGTATTATTTTTCAAATTAATAAATCGCCCTCGATAAATTATATATAATAGAAAGATTCCTAATCCAGATCCCAATGCTTATGGCATATCCAAAAAAAGTATATAAAATAAATACAATTATTTTTTTAAATTTAATTTTGATAATATTTAAAATTTATAATTGTACTTCTTGTATTGCTTCAAGCCAATTCACATTCTGCAGACGGTTGAGACCCTTATTATCTAATAGAAATTCTTCAGTTGGAGCTCTTTCTAAATTATTATAAAAATTGGAGTCAATCATTAATCCATTATCTTGTTTTTGAAAATTAAAAAGCGTTACTCCTTGAAAATTTACTAACAAAATGTAGATTAGTAAAAACTTTCTCATTTTTTTTTATAATTTCAAAAAATTTTAATTATGAAACTTTTTAATATTTATAAAAATTTTAAAACAATTTTTTTAGATAAAGAAATATAAAGCCTCCTTTTTCATTAATTTAAGAAAAAATAATAATTTTTTATATTATCTTAAATAATAATACTATTACTATATATAATAGCCAGCCCATATATTACCTTTTTCTGACAATAAACAATTTATATTTTTTTCCTATTTAGTTAAATCGTCACTCTATTAATTAATTATGATAAATCAATAATAATGTTTTTTTTTAATTATTCAAACTGTTTGTATTTAATATTAATTGATTTATAATTACAGATAAATTCAAATATTAATTTTAAATTTGTCTTGTTCCACGTTTTTTCTATTTGACGAATATTAGTTTTCAAATATATTATTAATTTTGTTGATTCAACTAATAATATTAAATTAAATAAGAAAAAGAAAAATCATTAAGAAATCTTCATCATTTGACATCATAATATTATATCTTTTAATATTAATCGTTTTAATGTATACAATTACAATTTATTAATTCTAATTAAAAATCTATACAGTAATATTAATATATAATCCATATTAAACGTAAACCTACAAATTACATAAATTTAAAATTTGTATGATAGCATAATTATAGATATCATATTAATTAGGACTTGACAAATAAAATTTTTTTAAACACTATGATTAAAGGTCATAAAATGTATAAGATTTTATAATTCAAATAAAGAAAGATATGCAATAAGGGAGATCGGGAATAGTGTTATCCCGGGGCAGGGAATTCAAAAATAATTTAAAAACTAATAAAATTTGAAATTTAGCCAAATATGTATTTTTACAAGGTGCTTAAATAGGTCCAAAAATATTTCACACAAAATTGCTTATGAGATATAAATGCAAATTTAAATTTTAGAATGTCAAAAGTAACTTTTTACATTTTTACTACTAAATTTTTTTATAAATGCTACTCAGATTAAATATCAATTCTAAATGATAAAATAAACTCTATTTTATCATGTACAAAAATACTCACAATATTTATTGTAATATCTTCAAATTAAGTTTAAATTTTTGGCAGGATACGTATTAGCCATTTTAAGACAGGGATTATTTTGAATAAAAGAACATTGACAATATGAAGATGATTGATATCTTTTTGTAAATTATATGACAGTTTTAAAGTTCTTTTGGGTAATATATGTAAATTTAACCTATTTGACAATTTATTTTCATTTATTTACTAGAATTAACATTTTTACAAAAAAAAATTAAAAATAAAGAAGCGCTATGACATGCAACGCGAAAAGTCCGGGTGTTTTTCATTATTCTTAAATTTTTATTTTTTTAAATTTTATATTAATAGCTAAAAGATTTTGTTCTTATATATTAATATCTATCGTAGAGATATATGTAAAAAATAAATATAAGTTTTAACATTTTGGAAAATTTGCTTCATCTATTTTTAATACTTCATTTTTTTATGGACAATTTAACCTGGTCTCCCCTATTGGGTTAGGTATAAGGCTTAATTTTTTACATTAAATTAAGAAAAACAAACTCAAATGAATCTAATTATCAATCACTAAAAAATTTAACCCTACTAGTCCATATCTCTTATTTTAGGTGAAATCAATCTTAAAAAAAAATGGACTCTTGCCATTTCATAAAGTAGATATAGTCCAAATCACACCTTACTTAGTCCATTTACCTATAAAATTCAAATATTTGCATTATTCATATTCGATTAGTATTTTCAAAACAAATTCATACGAATAATAAAAACACTATTCGATTAAAGTCGTCGATTGATTCAATTCAAAAACTAAACTCTTTAAAAATATTTTCAAAAATGAAAAATGAATTAAAGTGTTAAAAAAATTTTCTCAAGGAACAGTTAAATATATTTTAGATTTTTATATTTAGGAATATTTATATTTACGAAATTCTATTGTTTTCGAATAATTTTGAATATTTACAATTAATTTTGAATATTTAGGAATAATTTCGTATATTTACCAAAGAATACGAATAATTTTAATTGTATGATTAATTTTAAATTCCAAATAATTTGAATACGAATAATTTCAAATTATTTTCCTTATTTGTATTCAATTTGAATTTTGGAATCGAATAATTTTGTTATTCAATTTAGTAAAATATGGAACTAATCAAATAGCGAATATTTTAAGTAGTCTATATTTAATTTAGGCGTAATCAAGTTAAAAAAAATTATTCTAACCGTAAACCATCTCATCAATTATAGTATAGGATTTATGCACACTCATTAGCTGTATTTTGATTTCATGGCCATAGAAAACGATATCTTGAAATTTTTCGATTATTATAAATGTAATCTTGCCTGCTTTCGACCTTAGCCCATATTTGCTTTATATTTTTCAAGATCATGATAAAAAGGCTGTAGGAATGAGTCATTGAAATGAATATAATAAAATTTAAATCTGCGATGGGAGAAAAGTTTTTTTTTGCAAATATTTAATAATCTTATTCCATTGAAGAAGGGTATCCCTCTCTTTTGGGATTACACTATGTAGACATATTCGCGAAATTTAACATCCATGAAAACTCTCTTTCCATGGCGGTAATGAAAAAAATAAATATCCAGTGTTATACAATATTAAATTCGGTCCTGTTGTCACATCAACTCTTGGAAACTTCAGACCCGAGTCACTTTCCTTCCCTATCTCATGGGTGATCCTGATGAATGTTAGAATATTGGCATAGAAATTTTCCATTCAAATTTCTTATCAATTCACAGATCCATGTGGCCTCTTATCCGTAGTTTATAATAGTATTTTTCTAGTCATTAATTTAGTCTTTTTTGTTTTGTTATATCATATATCATATATCTAATACATATTATATAGATTGTAATTTGAACAAAAATTAAATTGATAAAATAAAACTGATTAACATAATTTGATTTGTTAGATATTTTTTTCCTAATATGAACATTCTTATAAATGTATTCGAGCAATATAAACAATCAATTAATTTTGACTATAGCTATATTTTTTAGGGTAGTCGCCCTGTGTATTCAGGGTTTTATTTTCATAAATTTTATTGAAGGGTTTCAGGCTAGCTTTTTGTTGATCTTTGACTGGATTATATTTATAAAAATAAAATTTTAGTTATTCACTTTTTTTTTAAAAAAAAATTCCTAATAAATAGAAATTATTATTATTTTTAACTTCTGCTTCAAAAAATTATTATTTTAATTACTAATTTTATTCATTTTTTTTGATTAACTTTTATTTTTAAGATTTTTACAAAACTTTGAAAATTTTCAACATAGAAGAAAATTTCCCTCTCTTCCCCCTTGGTTACGCCAATGGCCAGGGCTACAATAAAATTCAGAGAGTAGCTTATAGCTTAGCAACTTCATTTTTTTAATGCAGCATCACTACTTTTTTAAGGATACATCTACACTAACTTTTATTATTTCTATATTAATATATTTTTAAATCAAGTTTTTTCAAAATTTTATAACCATTTTAATTAGTAACGTTTTTGCATATGCCAACGAGTTAATTACTAATTATTATATAATATTTATGATAAAATTAATTCTGATAATGCAACCAAATTAGAAATTTTTTTATATAATAAATTTTTTATATATTTTTATGGCATTTTGTAAATTCAGATAAGATTATTTAGGGTTCAATAATGATTTTGACAAAAATTACCCCCTATTATGTTATACATATTTTGTTAATAGCTTCTTAATTAATTTATATTTTGGAGGATTTAAATTTAAAAGGTAGAATCTTATATGGTAAATTTATGACGTTAGGATGAAGTGCCACTTTCTTAATAAGTCAACATAAATAGATAGGTGCAAATTAGATTAAATTAAATGTTAATTACTTTTATAAAAGAAAAGTGTAATAAATATAATTTATTTTACTTAATTTTGAATATAATAATACTGTTGTGTATATTTTTTAATTTCAAATGTTATACATAATATAATATATATTTATAAATTAATTTATATGATAATATAAATTATTAGGGTTTTGATATGAATATACAAATTATAATGACAATTAATTATTTATGAAAGGTGCAACATCATAATTATTTTATTCATTAAAAATGAAAGTTTTAATCATATATTTTTTATTTAAGGTTTATATCTGCTATTATTTTTTGACTTTTTCTGGTACCAGTTAAGAATAGTATTTAGTAGATTCTGTTATTTTCAAGACTTTATAGACTATTTATTTGTTAGTACTTAATTATATATCTACAAAAAAGTATTCGCACGTTAATATAAACATAATTTTTTATATTATTAAAAGTGATACATATTATTGATGTATATATCGAAATATTAAGTTGCAATTCTTATCATTAGCAGAATCTGTGATAAAGTTTTTTTAAAAACGAATATCAAAATAGTTCACCTAGGGGAAATACCAGAGAATTGTATATAAATTTAATTACTTTATGGGACAGTGCTGATTTCTATTTTAAACTTCTATAATAAATAAATTAATTCTGTTGGTGCTGGTAGTATGAATAAATTGAAAGTCTTATCATGTAGAAGGTATCTAAAACATATATATCAAAGTCTAAAAATGGAAAGTTAGCTCCTATCACATTTAGTTTCTAAAAAAATTTAGCCTAAAATTACAAACACTTTAATCTAAGGATTCTAATTCCTTAGGCAGAACATAGACATAAACATTTTTAAATGTAACTATTGTTCCTTTTTTAGAAACACAATTATGTTTTTCTTAAAATCACTTTCTTTTTAATATAGGTTTATGTAATGCCTTTTTTTAAGATTTATACAATTTTATAGATTTCTTATATTAGAAACAACTAAAACAAAATGGTGATCCCAATTTTTAAAAAAGCAAATATCGAAAGGACATATATCCTATTTAAATTCCAAGTCCGATACTATGGGAAGGTATAGCTTTAGTGTTGTTAAAAATGGAAGTTTTGCAAGAAAATTTTAAATTATTTATAGATAAACCAAGAAGATATGTATTGAACAATTGGAATTTATTTAATTATAAAATTATAATTATAGTCAGATGAGTGATATTATCTAATATGCTGAAAATATTTTGAGATGTAAGAGATAAATTGAATTGATCAATGAAAATGATTTGAAATGTCCAGATAATTGTTAATAAAAGGTAGATATAATGTTGTCAAGAATATCGTTATGTGGCAAATATTCGCTATTCTTGATATTATCAGACTGCCAACTTATTTGCAATATAATTCCCCGTAAAAAAAATCTCCTAGAAAAAAAATTTCCTTGGAAAATAATTCCCCGAAAAAAATTTCCCTGGAAAATAATTTCACTTTTTTCTGATCCTAAAAAATAATTTTTAGAAAATTAACAAAATAGGAAAAAAAATCCCCAAATAAAATATTTAAAATTTTTGAGAAAATTAACAAAATAAAAAAAAAATCCTGTAAAATTAAAATTTCCCAAATAAAATTGTTAAACAAAATTATGAATAATAACTAGTGATTAATATTAAACCTAACCAAATTTTTTAATTATAATTAACCCTGACGATATATGTATAATGTTATGGCCTTATCCTGAACCCAGGTTTGGTGAAAATTAAACAAAACAATATTTATAAAATAAACGAATTGTATACCTAGTCTCTGTGATATTAAGCAAAATATTATTATAGGCTAAGTAATGATAATTGCCAGCCCAGATTTTTTATTTTGGCCCGGATTTATAAATTCATACCATTTTTTGACTCGGATCTGCCCTAATTTAATTAAATTTTAAAAAAAATTTAAATTCAAATTCCCTCGAAGATTTGAGGTTTTAAATAAGAAATAAATAAATATAGTTTACCACATTACACATTTTCATAAACTTTTAGATATTTATTGAAAAATAAAATTTTTATTTTAAAAACATATTTATTTTTTACACAAATTATTAATCATTTCTATGGTTTTAGAAATATATTATAAATTTATATCAGTTGGAGATAAGAGGCATTTCATAATAGCCTGGCCAATTTTCCAATTGGTATAATTTTGATATGCAATATATGAAATCTTTTTCTGATAATTTTTAGAATATAAAATCTATTGTGTTCTATGTCACAAATTTGATATTTGTCATTAGTTGGCAAAAATAATAGCATGACCTTTACTAAGTCTTAAATAGCGCCCTTTTTTGTCTTTAATAAAATTATATACTGCCAAAAGTTAAAAAAAAATCCGCCATTTTATTCAAAAAACATGTATTTCAGAGGTGATTATTAGCACTGAGTATAATATAAAAAACGGATATGTCCTCCAAATAAAGAGAGAAAATTAGGTAAAAGTCCCTTCTCTCTTCTAAAATATCAATACTAAATTTTTCAAAATATTTTGCTTCATAACTACGATTTTTTGGGAGTGTAGGTCCCAATAATCCATTGGCCGATTTTGCCCATCGACGACTATTTCCGTCCTAATCTTTTATATTAGTTCCCATATCTTATGTTTCTTGTTATCTATAATTACTGATCGATTATTCCACCCTATAATGTACCCCACTTAATTCTAAACTTTGACTTGAAAAACAATTTTGTAAAATATTTATTTTTGTCCGGAATTTAGACTTATATAAACATAAGAAGGAAAGAAGTGTTCTCATTTAATGTTATATATATCTTTTTAACCTTAGTGGCGTGTGGGTTGGAAATGCCTCCCCCACTTCATGGTAAGTATAATATGGATAAATGATCTGTTTTCATAATATCTATTAAAATCTAGATGAAAAGTAAAGTAGATTATGAAAATAACCTCCCTCTTTCTAAGAAAAAATTTGTTAAATCTATGATATTTTCTTTCCAAAATGCCATTAATCTATGCTTTTTATGCTATCTATTAAATTATAAGAGCTACCAACCGATTTATCAATTCTCATATTTTAAGATTACCCTATATCGCCTAGAATTAAAACAGAAATAATGCTTAAAAAAAATCCTAAAACGTCGAGAATACTCAACGTTCAGAAAATACATATATATTTTTTTTAGATATTTTTGTTATTTTAGCGTTTTGATAATTTTAAAAAAATTCAGGTAATTTTTTCCTTATATTTAATTTAAAATCTAAAAAAAGGGGGAATTTATTTTCGAGGAATAATTTTCCTAAAATTTTTCCCCGATGAATTATCTTCCAAAGGATAATTTTCCAGATTTTTTTCGGGGAATTATTATCCGCTTATCGGAAAAATTGTGGATTTATTAAAATATCGTTCAAAAGAACACTTATAAAGGAACTGGCAAATGGAAGAACTCGATCCATACCAAACCTCTCATATGATGGAAATCTAAGATAATTTTCAATACCACTCTTGCTTGGCCAGAAAGAGTTTGGACAGCATTTGGGAAGCTTCATTCTAACATAGGAAATTTAATAAAGAATGAGTCCGAAAATTGATATATCAGAGTGAAAAAGAGTTTGGGATTCGATTTATCAATATCAAGCGATGATTATGCTATTTGAATAGCATCTCATGAAAATCTGCTACTATTTCAAATGCATCACATGAATTTTTAATATATATTTATTTACAACATGCTTCTTGTTAATTAAGTTATTCAATAAAAAAATATGTTCAGCGTATTTTTGTTATTTTTAATTTTTGTTATTTCCACCAATTTAATAAAGTTATTCAATAAAAAAAAATTAAATAACGAGTTATATTTTGTAGTTATATACTACCAAGGGAATTTTATATCTCTAATATTACATAAATATTTTATATAAATTTTAAATTAAACATTTCCATATAATTTATTTGATAATATATAAACTGCGTCGATTTATAACATAACAATTGTATAAAAATACCCGAATCACAAATTAATCTGAAGTGACGAACTTAGTTCAATGACACAAGGTTTATAATCGTATAAAATTATTATATGTGTAGTGTATAATGTAATTTTTAAATTAAACATTTCCATATTAATTACTTGATATAAAATTATAAAATGGGTCGATTTATAACAATTGTATAAAAATGCCAGAATCACAAATTAATCTGAAGGGGCGAACTTAGATCAATGGCACAAGGTGTATAATTAATTGTATAAAATTATTTAAAAGAATGATCCTTAAATTTATATATTTTTATGATGTAGTATAATTTAGATAAATTATCTTAAAGAACGATTTGGTTTTGTGTGCATTCCTTTAATTCCTTGTTAGGCAGTACTATTGCGTTAAAAACAACCAATTCAGAATGCACGTCTACGTCATTCGCTTTTTATAATTTTGAAGAATATATATTATATTAAACTAACAACAATGTTTAGTTTTATCTTCTAAAAAAAGCTTCCTTGACTTTACTGATACACTTGTCTTAACTAAACCACTTTGAATTTTTAATATTGTTGCATAATAAATGACAGATGATTATAAAATTATTTATCAAATATAATCAAGAAGTGCAAAAAAATAAACCTATAATAGTAACGGAAGGATTTAATTTGCCCTGAGGACTAAATAAAGAATGAATTGATATATCATCTCGACAATCTGTTCCTTCAATCCTAGTCCATCTACCCACTATGGAGTTCCAACCAATAATACTGCACGTAACAAAAGCATGGTCCTAATTAAAAATTTTGTGAATTGGTTGATAAACCCAACATTTATCTTAAAATTCTATTATATGCATAAAAAAAACTTATTTAAAAATATAATATAATTTTCAAGTTAGAATTTATAAGGACTTATATTATCGCACAGAACAAAAACTGAAACACTTAGAATTTTTTTTTAACTTAATTACTCAGAATTAAAAAAATACTTAAGGCTAAGGATTTATACTGAGTCTCACAGATATTTTTCTTAAAATCAAGGACGATTTTGTAAAGTTAAAAGAAAAACTAAATCGCTCAAAATTTTTGCTATTAAAGTATTTTATATACAAATGAAAGTTAATCAAATGAATTGTTGAATATTATTATTCTATACTCTTGTTGAGCTTTATAAATCCATGTTCTCGAATCATACATGGGTTTGGGAATTTTTTAAAAATAATATCCTGACTGGTATGAAAGCTAATATAAAGATAAAATGATATTCAACAGGGAAGGTGGGCCGGGTATATGCATAATATCTTGTCATGTGTATCAGATGAAAGATAAATTGATTGCATTGATACTTAACACTCAATTCATCAGGGTACTTGTTGAGTATGGGGGAAGGGGGGGGGGAATCAATAATATATATGCCAACATGGTTATCAAATGAAAGTTAATGCAAAGATCAATTGATGCTCATCCCTCTATGTGTTCATGTGGATGTTGGAGGGGTAAGAAGGTTAAAATGTGCATAATAAAATATCATGGGTATTAAATACAAAGATTAATCGATTACATTAATACTCATCTCTCCAGGGTGGGGGGAGGGGTGTGTTTATATGTCGATATGGTATCAAATAAAAGCTAATAAGAAGATCAATTGATTATATTGATACTAATCTCTTCATAGTTAGTATGGTAAGGTTTGGGATTAAAAATTTTAAAAAATTCTAAGAATATTTCAATATCTTATAAAAGCTAATATAAGGATCTACTGATAACATTGTAATTTTAACTCGTCACTATGTCTTTAGGGACATTTTGACTTTCTAGCATTTCAAACATGGGCATTATTTTAAAGATGCCTAAATGTTTAATTTACCCCATTTAGTAATTTTTATTTTGAGGAACCGGCAAGGACTATGAGGACAATGGGGGGGGGGAGAAATGTATGATTCTTAAAATCAATGGTACTAAGATAAATATTTATGAGAAATTAAGTAATTAGTTCTGAGCGTTTCATATACTTTTCTGAAAGATTCATTTTTTAATTTGAGCGTTTTAGTTTTATACACGAGCCATTAGTATTTTTTTCTGGGGTATTAAGTTTTTTATCTGAGCATTGCTAATAATTTTTTTCTGAGCATTTCAGTTTAAATTCTGTGCGAGTAAATAGGAGCCATTAGCATTGAAAGTTACTTGAATATGGACGTTATCACAAATAATTGAATGAGATATCCTGGCTCCCGGGCCTATGATAGCGCCGGCGCATATGGACACATCAGGTCCTAACTTATAAAATTAAAATTTAATAAATTCATTAACTATTGTGATAGTTTTAATTAACATAAGAGTTCAAAAGACGAAAAATTTGGTAAAATCTGATATTCAAATAAATGGAAAAAAACTTTTAATTGCAGTAAAATTATTGAAAAATCTAATTATGGTGAGTAATAAATTATACATTAAAGGAGTAAATTTGTATATAGCAATGAAAATAGAATTCTTCTTACTACAGAAGTATTATGGACAGAAGCTGTTGGATGAATAAATACATTGCCTATGACAGTGCAAGTAGATTTTGAATTAATGGCCAGGAGCTCCGGGTGATTTTTAGTATAAAGGTTTAAAATCATTTGATCTGCGTAAATGGCAGAACTTAAAAAACGATTGTATATATTAAAAATGATATGTAACCCAATTAGATATATTTTCGAATGAAATTTTCAAATTTATTAAAAATGAACCTGGAAGATTTGATTTGCATCCAAGGTGTATTTTGGGGTAATATATATCCAAAAAGATGTCCAGATTTACCAGCTAGCTCAGGAAAAATGTCCAATTCAAATGACAATTTAACCGATTTATAAGGGAAATGAGATGGTGTTTTTATACAACTGATATTGTCCCCTGTTTCGGAGCTGGCATTGGATCTTTTTTTATATATATAAATCTCGGATTACTCGATTTTTAATAAAAGATTAACATAAAATAATCATTTATGCCTTCAAACTACACTATTAAAGATTTAAAGTCTTATCCATATTTATACGTCATCCTTTCCCAATCCAACCTCAATTATCTCCATCATGGTGCATCTCTTTGGCAACTATATCCATTTTCTTTCGTTCAAGTCAAGGTTAAACTATTTAAACATATGGCTACTTGATTATTATAGTTTTATCTCTACTTTTTGTCGAATTTAGTTAGAACCGAAATATTATTCTTAGGGAAACCCTCAAAATTAACTTTAAATATATTTTTATGTAATAAAATAGAGTTTCTAACTCCTATTTATTATTATAGGATACTAGAAGAGTAGCCAATCATACACCATTATTTTATTTTTACTGTTATAATCAAAATATTTAATTTCAGAAATTCGTTATAATAATGAAGGCTAGAAAAAAGAAGATGCCGTTTTGCCAGTTACTAATGTTTTTTAAATATAAATTTAGTCAATATTCAGACATAAAAGCCTGCAACTATGGAGAAGAAGAACATTTGAGAGCTCCGTTCCCCATGAAATTTAATAAAAAACGATTATCTAAAGAAAATAAGAGTTCGAGACCTTTTTTTCCGAACCTATACGAAGGGGACCCATATAATTTAGGCAAATAAATCCTAACCGTATTTGTTCCCTGAACCTGGATCCAGATCGAGTTCAATAATTTTATTTATTTTACAATATATTTCTTCGAAATAAAAGTAAAAAAAAATTTTTTTTTTATTTTCTCCAATACATAGAGATTCTGTCATTACCGTTTTTAACATTTTTACCAAATCTTCTGGTAATTTTATATTTTTTTCCTGGATATGGTAATTTTTTCATTTGGCGGTTTTCTTTCTTATGATATTTTTATCCGATTAACTTCAAAACCCCATTTTAATTGATAAACTTCTATCATAGTGATTCAATCTATTATATCTTGTAGATAAAAGTACCTTAGGTTCAAAATGGTTGATGGATTTGTAATAGACGTAAATCTTTCAAATTTGAAAAAATTATAAGAAAATCTCGGGACTTTTACACTTCAAATTTTTATTCAAATAGAGCTTAAGATATTTTTAATGATTTTACTTTATTTTGTTTAGATCTCATTATATTACCGCCAAAAATTATATAATAAAATATGAATGCAATCATTAATGTTTTTCATAAAAAATTATTTAAATTTAAGAAAAGTAATTAGTAGCATGATTATAATTACTAGTCTTGTTAAAGTGTACGTTTATATATTTTTGCGAATATAGTTATATTTTGGAATATAATTACAAGGATAACTAATTACTTTCCAGGTAACTCTAAAATGTGTTAAATTTATATATATATATCTCTTTCATTATCTTTATATAATGATTTTCAAAATTTTAAATGACTCTTTATTGAATATAATTTCTCATTAATGTTTGTTTGGTCTATTGGGGAAGCATATATTTAAGGACAGCACACCTTTTAGCAAGCGATATTATATTGACACCAAATTTTATGTAAAATAAATATTGTAGTGTTATTTATACATATTTTTGGCGCATATAAAAATTATATTGTGATATTTTTATCATTGGAAATAAATGTCAGACAGTAGTTTTTTTCAGTGCAATTATTAATTTATTTAAATTGTATTTCAATCGTTTGAAATGAAATTTGACAAAATTATCTTGTACAATAAGATGTTAATATTAAAAATGATGAATTATATAAATAATTTATAAAGTAACTTGCAATAACTAGTTATAATTACTTTTGAAAAAAATGTAACCAGTTTTTAAGGATGTAACTAAAAACGGTACTGCAACTAGTTATTTTTCTAGGGTAACTTTTAAAACACTATTACATATGTCATTAGCTACTACCTTAGTTTGGTGTGGCTCTGCAGCAATGTTACTTTATATAAATTGTAATGATCTTTAATAAAATAAGGTCAGCTTGGTCCAACTCTATTTTGGGCGGGTCAGACGCAAATATGTAAGTACAAGGTCTATTGTATCTTATATACAAAAATTTCAGAAGTTTTGGATTCAAATTTTATACGACAGGAGGAAGTCGAGGGAACATATATTTAAAGCTTAAGGTGTAAAAAATTTAGAGATGCTATGGAATTGAAAATGTACTAAATTAATATTTGGCATAATAAAAAATAAAGAGAATGAATAAAAGAAATGATATTGAAATTAACCCTTTATATCAACGTATTTTTAAAATATCTCAAAGTTATAGAGTAAATAAAAAATAAATTTGACAAATAACTAAGAATAAGATTTAAAAGAGGTGGTATGTTCTATGATATCAAAGGGTGTTATTTTGTAGTAAAAACGCTGCATCAGTGATATAAAGGGTTAATTAGTAATGGGCCAATCAGAAATCCCAATTTTTATATATAATATAAAAAAATGGGTATTGTAATAAATTTTAACTCATTCATATCCAGAGTATGATTATTAAAATTTTGAGAGTCATTCCTAGTATTAATAAGTTCATTTCCAGTTTTTAAGGAATTTGTGAGAGCGGATTGCAAATGATCGAATATAGTCGAAGTAAAAAGGTAGGCGCCACAACTTATAACATTCGAAGAAAACTCCAAAGGTTTCTCCACAAAGTGTAGAATCTATATGTAATTTATAATATTATAGCAGACTTAGATAGTACCATATGTATATATTACTATTTCTTTTAATAAATATAATTTTAAAACCGTTATAAACCAGTTTAAAAATACTTCTAATCAGTGATTCGGTTCTCTTCTCTCCTTTTATTATTCTCTTATAATGGTTATTCCAATTTAGTTCAATGCCCTGATAAGGATACTGTGAGGGTTTGAAAAGCTATAAATAAGCTTAGGTTAATAATATTGAATTAGATATAATATAACTATAAGCTTATATGGATTAATAGCGTGAAAATGTTAGATAATAAAATAAACCAAAATAATATATTTTATTTAATATTTCATTTAGTTAATATGAAATGTTTAATTTACCCCGTTTAGCCAGTTATATTTATTGAATTCACCTCGTATTTATTCTAATTTATTTTAATTTTTGTAGTTGGACAAACTCGTTCAATTTTCGTTAAATCCTTAGCCACTTCCTAGCAGTACTGTTTTAGGTCCAACATATCTGCTTTATTAGACAATTGTCTAAAGCATGGGAACTTATTCAACTACAATTGATTCGTAGTTAGATAGAAAATAGGTAGATGTGCAATTTATTAAGAAAAGATTTTTAATCCCATCTGAGATAAGAATTGTTTTTAATATCAATTGATAATTAGAACAGCTTGTCGCCGATAATGGTCTCTTAATATGTAGGGTAAGTTTAGAGAATACAATGATTGTGAAGAAGTTAAGAACGTAATTAATAGAAGGTCTTAATAATATAGAAATAAAATTTATAGTTTGATATAAACTATTAAGATGAGATCATGATTAAAGCATTGACATAGTCAAGGGCAACCATTTTAACCGCCATCCTCCACCCAAACTATTATTAAATCCAAATCTGAAGACAGATACCGATTGAAACCCTCCTATTATCTTTCAAGATATTAAAAATAAAAGATAAACCATAATTTGAGCTATGAGAAAAAGAAACCAGCTTTTGATGCTCCAATGAGATCATTATCTTATGAAATAGAAAGTTTAAAAAAATAGTGTTCAAAAACTTACAAATGAGCTTTGGGTAGAGGCTTTCCCAAAAAAAACAAGCTCATAACAAGTGTCTGAACAAATGACAATAACAGTAAATGATGGTCTGTTAATTATGTGGCGTGAGTCAATGAAAATAATTAATGTGGCAAAACCATGAAGTCACAACATACAAGAGACTTATGAAACAGTAAATTCAACATAATGAAGAGAACATAAAATGTAGCATTTATATTAATTAAATATTGATTTTGTTTATTTATAGTCATTGTGGCTAGGCCAAAATTGAGTTGAGTTAAACAATTTGTGCAAAATATTTTCACAGGCTGGAATTTTGCAAAAAAAATTTAAAATTTATACAGGATTTTTTAAAAACATTTACGAAAATTTTACTGACTAGCCAACACCAACTTCTAATTTAAATTACCAATAATATTTGGAGTTACCCAATGGGCCATATACTTCACAACCCCATTACAATAATTTTTATGATTCCATATGTCAAAGTTAGGCCAAAATTTATTTTAGTTCTTTTTATATACAATCAACCATTTTTACTTTTCTCAGTTCTCACGTTATTTGTAATATATTAAAAGCCTATTGCTTAATAAATTTGACGGCCATTTTATTATTAAGTAAATAATGACTAATTAAAAAGAGGGGAAAGAATATAAATAAAATATGGTGACCGTCTTATGTTCAGTATTAAATTTTATCAGGTTGCTCTCCAGGGTTAGCCCTAGTGTTGTTAAAAAGCCCGGTTTTTAAAATGGCTCGATTAAAATTATAACCAAATTAATATTATATAAGCCTTTTCTTTCAATTTTTTTTGACACCAAAAATCAGAGTTGCAAAATATCGTTTGCAAAAGTGTGGATATTTATAAATGGCAAAAGGTTGGAATGTATATTATGTCATTGCTTCTGAATCTAATACGACAACTGTTTATTTATTTCAAAGACTATAATTTTAATTAGTGAATTTGAGGTTAAGTCAAAAAATATTTATCTTATCTGATGGAGCTACATTTAATTAAATGTGTTGATTTTGTCATCAGCTGAATAACATTTTTTATGAGAACTCATGAGAAGACGTTCTATGGCATTGAAGATAGTGACAAAATTAATATTGCAAAGGCTAGATAAATATCATATCTTTGCCCAATCTAAAAAACCAAATTTGATAGGAAATGTATTATACAGGGATCCAAACCGAAGCGAATATCGGTTCAGTTCGAGTTCTGGTTCGGATAAAAATAACGGTTCAAGGTTCAGGTTCGGTTCATAAAAAATCTAAATATCGGTTCGGTTTGAACCTCTAAAACCCGGTTTGAACGTTTTTGTATTCAAACCTACATTCGACTTATGTATAGGGAAAAAAATTTTTTTTATTTCATAATTAAAATTAAAAAAACATACAAAAAACCTTCATTTTTATTAATTGCACATTATAAAATAACAATTAATTTATAAATATAAGAAATAAATATCAATTATTAATTTTAATTAGAACAATTACATAAAATTTTTTTATTAAGCCGCATAATAAATATATTTTCAAAATTCGTCTCACTCAAATTACATTTATAAGGAGATAATATAAATTTAATTGTTAAAAAACATCTTTCCACACTAACTTAGGTAGCCGACACTGCCAATATGATATCAGATTTGATGTGTCATTTATAATAATATATTGGATTTAATTTTTCTCTAAGCATTATAATTTATAAGCTTAATATATTTAAAAAATGTTGTAAAATGACAATATACTAAAGTTTATAAAAATTATGACCGACACTTATCAATCAAATGTGATTGATTCTAATCTTTAAAATAATTTGAATATAATTGAAATTTTTTCAATATACTAATAATAACTTACATATTATTTTATAAGAATAAAATCATGAGGCTTGAACCGGTTCAGAGGCATTTTAGCAGTTCAGTTCAGGTTCAGCTAGAAATTTTTTAGCCGTTCAGGTTCGGTTTGGATCCCTGGTATTATAACATATATAGAGTAATTAGACAGCAAATTAGAGATAATTTTGCTTAGAACTGTTCAAATTTACAAATATTATATAAATTTTTCATGTAAATTAAAAATATTAGGGGTGTGCCAATATTAAATATCGATTAAGGGCTGATATTTAGAGTTTTTAAAAAATCAAAAATTAATCTGATTCAATCTTTTGATTGTTTTTTGTTATTTTATGATTGTATATTTATATAAAGTTTATTTAACATTATTTTAATATTTCAACAAATTATATATTTATTTTTATAATAAAAGAATGGTTTCTAATCTCTTTTTACAAATAACAACTGGCCCATTTTATTTATTATTCATACTTTTTAAGAACTATCATTTTTTAATATAAAATTTTTTTAAGTTGGCATTTGAGATTTTACAAAAGATAAAGAGAATTTTTAAGGGATATAGATAGTTCTAGTCATAGAAAATTATATAGCCATAAAATTGAAGGGTTCTCATTTTTATTTTAAAAAATCTAAATTATAATTTTATATTATAATAATTTTTATATTCATATCAACATGTATAATGTTCAAAATAAAATTCAATTATCACATTGTAGGGAATATAATTATTTTTTTTTTAAATTTAGTCTTATAATAAAAATATTAAAATTAAATTAATGCATAATTCTTATTTTTGCATAGAAAATATTAATTTTTTTATAACATTTCGTTCAAAGGTGGATGGTAAAAAAATCAATATAAATATCAGATTATAGCAAATATCATGAATATTGAATACAAAATTTTGGTTTTGAATAAACATCAAAAAATATTGAATCAGATTGGTGAAAAATTTTGGATCAGATAAGTTAAAAATATGTGGATTGGTACAGTTCTAAAAAATATATAAAATTTCATGCAAAAATTGTTTTAAATTTTTAGGATAAGTATTCTACATATACTGGAATAAATTTATGGTCAAATCAGATCTTTTAAATTTAGAAATAGCCCTCAATAAATCATATAAAATTAGGAGATTCCAAATCCTCATATAAAAAATTTAATTTTATATTCACTAAAAAACTGTTAGTCATACATTTTTTTTAACAAATCTCTTCTATATTTCCAATTTCAATTAATTTTTACATGAAACTATTCTTTTATTAAAAACAATGTGAGGAAAAAATGTTCAGATATGTGGAAATATTAAAAATAACAAAATTGCCACAACTTTGTAATTTTTATATATAACTCAATGGTTAATTACAGCTCACAAATCACTATCTACTCTTTTACCAAAACAATTGTTAATTATTTATTATAGTGCTAAATCATATTATTTATTTATTAATACCTCTTTAGTTTTTTCATCATAGCTTATACAACCATAATTGAAACTTTGAGATGGGTCATTCTATTAAATATATAAATAAATTTATTATAATAATGTTTACATATTTTCCCATTATTATATATTGTTCTTGATTGCAAAAATTATCATGAAATTTCAGCATTTCTTTAAAAGGCATATCACCAAGAACATCACCATTTATCACAAAAAAATTGTCAACTTTACCCAACAAAATATCTTTTTTATATTTAAAAATCCCCCCAGCACTACCCATTATTTCATTTTCTTTTAAATATCTAATTTAATTTGTATTTAATATTTTTGCAATAATACTTTATATTAATTTTAAATTTTTCTTCACACATGTAAATAAATTTTTCAATTTCATTTAGATCAGTAAAACATCCTAATAAAATAATCTCTTTCATATTTGGAACCTATGAATATATTATATTAAACACTCGAATATAAAGTTAACTTTAGATAAGGACTCAATGGTGTGGTAAATTAACGGGACCCCACCAATAGGAAAAATTGGTTTCGGTTTATGAAGTGAAAGAGGCCTAAAGCGAGTACCTACAGAAATATAGAATATATTAATTTTGTATAAGCAATACTACCTTTAGCTGGCCCACCTAGCAATATAATTGCTTTATTGTCCATTGTTCAACAGAAATGTGTAAAATTTTGTGTTTACCTTCACTTTGACAGATACCTTAAAATATCTTAAAAACGTGTATGGGCATTATTTAGATCCACAAACAAAAAAAATATAAATATTTATAAATCGTCTTTGAAATCAAAATTTAAAATGATTTATCAAAAATATAACATGCTTGCTTAAAATTTTTTGATTTCTAACGATATTTACAAAGATCTTACCTTTTCTATAATTAGTTTGACATTGATTTATACCTCACAAAGTTTTTGATTTTCATAAATACTTGCTTAAATTTAGTATGAATTGATATGGAGTATAATTTTCAGTTACCGCTGGAGTGCCAACATTAGTTTTAACTTTAATTTTATGATAAATTGGTCTTTTCTAAAGTGCCCCACCTTGTTCAGGTAGTTGTACAATGCTAAACTTACAGGCAAGATTAGCTTCATTAATATATTATCTATATTATTACTCTTAAAATTTTTATATTACTTTTATAATTATAAGTAATTTATTATATAAATTGGATGGAAAAAAAAATATATCACACATTTTTATGCAGAAATAATGTAAAATTCACCAATCGCTTTATCTATATCATAGAGAATTTAGGTTAAATCATATCTAATACTAATGTTTATAATTTTAATTTAATATCATATAAATTAGAACACTGTTATATAAAGTGAAAAAATTATAGTACGATAAAGTTATCCTATTAAGTACTATTAATCATATAAATCATATAATTAACCTTTCAATACTCCGGTGAAAAAAATGACGCTAGTACTCAGGTGGGGTTTATTAGACCCTAATTTCAAATGTATATATCTCCAGTTATCAGTGACGAAGCGTCAAGTATACTACTAAAGAAGCAATCAAAAAATTTTTTATATTTTAGTCTAAACCATAAATATATTAAGATTTATAAATAAGTGGTATTCGTCTTTGTTTTTGAGTAAAATGATCAAGTAATGCATTATAAAAGTTATCGCTAGATTTTAAATTTTTTAATAATTTTTTTTAATCGAAATCAAAGATAGATTCGATAATCGATTTTGGCTCATCCTGTTTCTGCAATAAGATTTGATTCTTTTTAAAGATGAAAAACTCCGTTCTGCATTTGCTGTTGTTAAAGCCAAAGTTAAGATGAATTTGCATAATTTAAAAAACTATTTAAAACTTTTTATCAAATCGGTGCATATTAAAAATTCAAGTATTTCATTAACATTCTTTTTCTTCCTAAATTCAACATCCCGAAGCACTACTTTTAATTCGGTTTCCAGCTTGTGTAAGTCGAAAAATTGTCTAATAAATATTTTGGGGAATTGATTATTTGTAATTTAATAATATCTAACCATTCGACGAATTTAATATTTTTTGGTGTAAGACATATGAAATAGAATTAATCAAATCATTTTGAATATTGCTTGATAGTCCAATAAAGACTGCACTATTTTTAAATGAAGTTTCAATAGTAAATTTTCTTCCGCGAGTAAAGAAATTAATACATTATAATTTCTTCTATTTACTGAATTAGAAGATTCATCATCACCACGGAATACGAGCTCCTGAATTCCAAGAAAACATATAGAGTTGATCAATATTTTCAATATTTCTCTATTTGATTTGACTTTAGAATTATGCTGTTCGATTGATAATTTGCGCATCGAATCTATCATATTTTCAATACTTGGCCTAGTGTTTTTAATTGAATCATCGACTGAAAATGAGCGGTTGATTCTTTGCCGTTTAACTGCCTTTGAAAAATTATTCATATCCGAAAATCTTTTATCATTCCAAACATATTTTTTCTTTGGGAATAATAGGCATGACCAACAATATAAGAATTAGAAACTTCAGATCCAGTGAGCCATTCATATTTTTCATATTTATCGATAGAAAAATTACGGATACAAGTTTTGATTTCTTTTTTTAAGTTTTGTAAAATTGGTTTTGGTCTTCCTTTTTCAATAATCAAATTTTTCGCATCAAAATTTTCTGAGCTAAATAATAATTAATAAATTTTCAATAATACAATTACAATTATTAAACATTAATTAAGGATTTTAAAAACGAAAATTTTTTATTTAAAAAGGTAAGGAAAAAAAAAATATTATATAAAAAAAATTTCCTTCTCTTTTAAAAAAATAAGCATTTTTTTTATTTGCTTCCCCAATTATTTTTTAATGGTAAAATTACACAATACCATAGCATGATTTTCTCTTTATTTATTAAAAAAATAAGCAATATTAAATTTATTTCCCTCAAGTATATTTTTTTTAAAGTAGTAAAAATAATAGTAAATTTTTTAACGTAGTAAAAATAATAGTTTCTTAATATAGTAAAAATAATAGTAAATTTTTTAACGTTATAAAAATTATATTAATTTTTTTAACGAAGTCAGTTTAGTTTATTTAGCATAGTACAAAGATTATATAAAGTTTATTTAAAAATTTTGAAAGAAAAATTTAAAGGGAAGCAATGCTTCCCTTGCTTCTATGGACGCTTCGTCACTGCCAGTTATATAAATATTTTTATTTAATATTTGGATATAAGATAGAACTAACCTTAAACTTGATAAAATATTTATTTTTATTTCTTAAGCTTAGATTAAAGATGATGATGAGGATAATTATAATTTAAAATTTTCTAAAAAATCTTACTTTTTTTCATTTTCATATTTTAAATTAAAATAATAATTTATTTATCATATAATCATGATAATTCATAATAAGGATCTTTATTCTTCAATATAAATAAAAAATTACACTAATACATTCAAACCTAAAAAAATATAGACCATTAAAGTATGTTAAATTTGACATGCAAAATATTTAATACATAAAACATTATTGTGTTCTAAACATAAATTTATTTTACATATTTGAAAAAAATATATTTTTATTTTTTTTATTTTGATGGTTAGATTTAAAAACTTCAGTTAAATAAAAATTTCCCAATAATGTCTTGAAGTGTGTTACATCAACTTCTTTAGTCGAACTTTCATATTGTCAGTATTTGAAAAATATATTTTTTTATTTTTTTTATTTTGATGGTTAGATTTAAAAACTTCAGTTAAATAAAAATTTCCCAATAATGTTTTGAAATGTGTTACATCAACGTCTTTAGTAGAACTTTCATATTGTCAGTATTGTTATATAATTTTAATTTTTTCATTGGTATGATAAATAATCTCTTCAATCATTGGTGTTATGAACAAGTCAAAACATTTTTCTGGAGTGTCAGCTTCTTTTCCTTATTCATTTACTCCTGGCAGATGAATAACTAAATTTTGTTGATGAGTTCTTATTCTTTGATTAGGAAGATCCTTTTTCCACTTAGTAAACTTATTTTTTTTAGCTAATTTTAAAGAGAAATATACTTTGATAAATGATTTCATATTTACCTAAATAATATTAAGTTTATTGTCTTAAACTTACATTTCTTCTTCATGTAATTCAGATTATGTATCATGATCACTATCATATATAAAATCTTCATCCTCACTATTAATTATATTGTCATAATCACCTCAAATAAAATGATATTACATCTTAAATAATTATATATTTAGTTTCAGAATTTGCAAAAATCATTATAAATGATAAAAATAATTTGAGAAATGTCAGCTGGTGAAAAATAAAAATAAAACAACCCCACCAGTGAAAATCTTTACGTTTTTCATATATCTCATTCAATATATAAGATATTTAAATTTTGTTTTAATAAATTTTATAATATAGTAGTATATATTTATAATTTTAAAAATTTTTTAAAAAAAATTTCTTAAAATAATAACAAATTTACTCTGGTGGGGTCTCAGTCTCACAAACCCCAATCAGTCACAAAATGTTTATATCTTAAAAACTACTCAACCAAAATATATAATTTGTAATATAGATTCTAAGATATATTTGATGAAGCTACTGTAAAATCCAGATCATAATATTCAACCGTTTTTATGTAATATCATTTCTTGCATGCCTGGGGTTTCATATACCCCACCAGAGTATTGAAGGGTTAAACTGTGAATCAAATAATTTTCTAGAGGCTTTTAAGATTGGATACTTTTTAAATTTTAAAATCATACAAAATGAAAATACCCTTATTTTAATTATAAAATTATCTTAATTTTTTTATAGCTCACTATGTAACTTAGATATATATTTAACCTTTTACCTTGCCATGATCCTCTCAAATTCTTTATTTATATTATATTTTAAAAATAATGCCACTAATTAATACCACGGATATCTATAAAAAAAACGCTTGAAAAAAATACACTGGATAGCAGTGAGTGGAGTCGTTAAATCTATAAGCTTACCGGGGCTCAAAGGGTGGCTCAATTTGTTATGTTTTAAGGTTAACGATATATAATATAACCAAAACTTTCCCAACTTTTTTGTTACTAATCCCTTTTAATAAAAAATTTTTAAGGCTAAAGTTGCCAGGTTCATATTGGTTTATTTATATATACACGAATTAAAATAAGTAAATATTCATTAAAATTTTATTTATTCTTCATAAAAAATGAGAACTATTGTATTTTTATTTTGACCCCATGCTTTTTAAGTTTTTGAACCTAAGAGAATGAAGACAATTATTAACAAAATTTATAAATGACTCTTAATAAGTAGCAAGATAGCTCAATATTATTTTTTAGAGAATAGTGATGATATTTTAAAAAATGTTTTTTTCTTTTCATAATTCTAATATATAATATATGCTAATATACAATATTATTTGAACCGGTTTCGAACCTATATGTTTGAACCAAAAATGATGTTATTTACTTATTTTCTTCAAGATAAAGTATAAGAATAATAATTATGACAATTGCCATTTTTCTATTTTTCATCTTCAGAAATCATATTATAATATATTTATATTTATTTTTACAAATTTTCTAAATTCAAAAAATTTTTAACTTAAATAATACATCTTCACCGAGATAATATTTTAAAAAATATTTTTATTTATTGTGGCGGCGGGATTATTTTTATATTTAAAGAAAAATTATTAATTGTTTTTTTTCAGGAGAATTATTTCCCACTTTATATTTTAAAATCGAAAAAGTTGGTAATTTATTTCTGGGGAAGTTTTTCC